TTTGATGACATGAAGTAATTATTAATTAATGAAATAATCTTAACATAACAATCATTAAAATCATATTATAATATGAGGTTATATATACTGATTTTGCGGTGGTATATTTCTTGAAGATATTAAGTTTGTTCTCTCTTTTTCCTCTTTTATTTCCATTTTTTTTAAAATTCGTTGATTGCTTCTTTTGAAAGATCAGTTCCTTTATGTAATTTTTTGACACATCGTGATCAGCAACTTACACTTGCAGAAACACTTTTTATACCCTTAGCCCACTGTGCACTATTTCACTAAATTTTTTTTTCCTAAACCTTTTTAAGTTGTATTTAATTTTATTAGTATAATTTATAATTTCTCTATTGCACTTTCTCTGTTAGCTCGTGCAACTTCTTATTAAATTATATGATCTATATTTGTAAAAAATAATTTTCTATAAAATTTAACCATAATTACATTTCAGATATTTTACAAGAGTGCAGAGTTAATCTTGGTCATTATTTTATGATTTTTATATAAAATATTTATTTCTTAATTTATATTTTTGACATCAATATTTATCATGATATTCCTTTTATGGGTGATAAATATTCATGATGCAGTCATTATAAAGTTTTTATTGCTGCCGACGTTTCAACCCAAACATGGGTCATCATCAGGGATGATGTTAATTCCCTGATGATGATCCACATGTTTGGGTTGAAACGTCGGGACCAATAAAAACTTAATAATGACTGTGTCCTGAATATTTATCACCCATGGTATGCAGAACAGTTAATACACTTCCTTCGATATTCCTTTTTATTATTTTGTTCGTACATTTATTGGCTAATATCTTATTCGTAGATTCTTTAATTATTTTGTAGTTTTAATTTTGAGAGATTATGAAGGATGTTATTTTTTTTCTTCTTATTTTTCCAATGGCACATAACCAGATTCTACATTATTTCCTGATTTTAATAATGAAGTGCATTAATGATGTTGAAATCATTTATATTATTAACACTCATATCCTACTAAATTGAACTCTTCAAGATATTTTACTACATTATTCCAATCATTTTATTTTTTTTTTTTGGAATGTTTTGATTTTAATTTTGTGGATTATGGATATTTTTTTTTTCTTTTTAATCTGTAAGATTTGAACTTGCCACAAATTATATTTTATATATTCTAATTTCATATTATTAATGTTTTTTGTTTATTTAGTTTGGAAAGCATTTATTATGAAGGCTTCTATTTATTAATGATTTTACAGAACATAAAAAAATAATAATAAACTAGTAATTGATGTTTTAAAAGTGAAAATGTTTTTATAATTATAATTTTGACTATATTATTATTATTTATTGTAAATTATATTGATGTGCTTAATATCTACATAAAAGCTAAGCATTTCAATATTTTAAGGGAAAACACAAAGCCGATGATTTATAAACCATTGTAGTGCCAATTTGATTTCAGCATAATAGAAATGTATCCATCCCTTAAAATAGAGATCTTCAGACTGCAACTTGTTGTCCTACATTTAATCTCAAGCAGCACCGACTTACCAAACTAAGTTTATTTTGATTACATTATAAAATGTACAAAATATTACAAATAATAATATGTAATGTTAATAATAAAAGGCTTAGTGAAACCAAACATTCGATTCCGATACCACCAATGATGTTCTACATACTACATACTCCATTGGGTACTGTCCAAATCCAATCTCATCAGATTAGCCTTAATGCTGTCCTCCCACTGTTACTTCAGTTTACCCCTACAATGCTTAACAGTCGGTATATAGCACATATCATCCTTTATTTGTCATAATGTTATCAGCTTAATTATACTAACTGTGTATAGTTCATACAATTTGGAGTTTTGCTTAAATTATTTTCTTGAAAACGTAAATATGAGGGCTAGAAACATTAAGTTTATCACTTATAAAAAATAAATCAAAATATTTTCAAAATTATTTTTATTATAAATAAAAACTGTATTTAGCCATTAAAAACTGAGAGAGAAAATTGAGATTCATCTTAAATTGTGTAAAAAAATTATGTGACTTCTCATTCTATTAACTAAAAGTACCCTTGTTTTAAGCAAAGATGAGTTACAATTAATTGTTGTAAAGCTTTTATTACTTGTTTTTCTATGATCAGGGATGTTTTACAATAAAAATAATTGCCTAAATACAATTTTTATTTATAATAAAAATAATTTTGAAAAGTTCTGATTTTTCAAATATTTTTCCGGTAGTGTTTATGAAACTCTTTTTCATCCAGATTTGTATTATATGAATTGATCCGTATTTTATAAAGGATAAACTAAATGTTCCTGAACCAAAAATTAACGTTTTTATGAAAATAATTGAGGCAATCAGCTGGTTTCTTTATTTTAAAACGTACATTTTAGGACTAGAAACATTTATTTTGTCAATTATATATACTCATAAATTCCTATAATACGGTTTTGGATGAAAAAAACAGTTTCATAAATACTTTATATGAAACATTATTATTTTAATTTTTTTATTTTTATAAATAAAATGTGTTTTAAGGCAATTTATGTTTATTACAACACACCCCATATCACGAAAAAAAAAACAAGAAATAAAAGCTTTTCAACAGTTAATTGTGGTCATTTTTTCTAAAAATACGGCTACTTTTAGGTTACTGGATAGAAAATCACATCATTTCTTTACACAACTTGAAATGAATCTCAAAATTTTTCCTAATAAACCTCAACTTAATTAATATGGACTTAAAGCTTATTAAACAAGGAAGGTTTTTTTTAAAGTGGGTTTAATATAGTACAGCTGAAGGGTAATAAAAAAAAAATCAGTATTAATTTCAGACTTTTTTTAAACGAAATAGCCAGATAGTCCTATTTAAATAGTTATAATGATAACAAACTCTACTTTCGCTAAAAGTAAATTTTTGTCTAGTGTACTCTGGAGCAATGTATTAGTTACTTAAATCAAATATTTCTTATGTTATCGCCTCCTATTCAACAAAAAATGTGACTCATTTAAAAAAACACAAATCTTAAATATCCTATTTTTCTGTTGGAAATTGGGTAATTCCTTATATGAACTTCTTTGTAGATATTGATGTCAACTATCAACCATTTAAATATTTTCCTCTACTTACAGGACACCCACACCCTGTGTGTATATATATATATATATATATATATATATATATATATATATATATATAAAGTACTGGACCCAAGATCATCAATAACATATAGGTTTTTTTTTCTTTGGAAGATTATTGAATTTTTTTTTGAAGTGGAACACACTAAACTTCTTCAACAAAAAGTACTGAACCCAAGACTTTCAGTGAAGTTTTATTGATAAGTACAGAAGTTTTATTTATATATACATACATATATATACATATAAATAAATAAATAAATAAATATATATATATATATATATATATATATATATATATATATATATATGTATGTATGTATATATAAATAAAACTTCTGTACTTATCAATAAAACTTCACTGAAAGTCTTGGGTTCAGTACTTTTTGTTGAAGAAGTTTAGTGTGTCCCACTTCAAAAAAAAATTCAAGAGTCTTAAAAAAAAAGAAAAACCTATATGTTATTGATGATCTTGGGTTCAGTACATTTTAAGGAAATACAGTTTATTGATAAACAGTTGTGAAAAGAGTTGATTTGACCATTACCAAGCTCAACCACTTGGAGTTTTCCTTAATTAATTGCTTACTTTCTATAGGCTTGTGCCTCAGGAGGTTTAATCTATGGTTGATGTAATAGAATAAATAATTACCTTCCACATCTGATCTCGAACCCTGGGCCCAGAGCTTAGGAACACAGTGTATTGTTCAGTTTGTTGCAACTCTCCCTATTAATAAATACAAAACAAAATATATTAGTAGTAAAAAGTATAAAATACAATGAGAAATTAAGAATCTAGGGTCTAAAATAAGTGAATGAAATTAAATTTAAGGAAAAAAAGGCAAGGTTGAAGATGGAAAATTCTTCTTCTTTTTCTTTTCATTACTGCTCAGCTCATTCCCAATGTCTAGAAACATTTTTTTTTTGTTTATTTAATGAAATTTACAACTGTATACAAATACAACTAGGAAATATGCACAAATTATAAATAATGACATGAAAAGGCTTGAAGAGATACTACTCAGGGGTAGCACTCTGTAAATAATTCTAGGTAAGTAGATCACGAGGCCATCTCCTTTTCAGACGCCTAGGAGAATTATCAGGAATCGAGGAACAAGCAAGGGTGGAAACAAGGGGATTTGGATGGTACTGGATTTTATCATGAAAGGATAGATATCTGGCTCGGGCTAAATCAGCAATCTAGAAACATAAACGTTATTATTAACAAGGCTTACTGTTTTCTCTATTCTTATGACTGTTAATGTCAAAGGAAAAACAATACCTTATGGTCTTTAAAAATTGTCTATTATATTTGACCCGAACTAATCACAATCTACTGGTGACCTTAGGGGACTGTACAACATAAGATTGTGGGACATTCTTGTAAATATACTTGAATTATAAGTATTGTGAGAGTTGAAACAGATATTTAAATGATAATTAATGAATTCTGAAAGAAGTAATTAGTGATTAACCAGTTGCTAAACATCTCAAAGGGTATAATTAGACCTTGAAGGATTGTATTAAGGATGATCTGTTTGATTTGGGGTTTGAGTAGGTTCAGAGAGGTAGGAGAGGTTGTGAATCAACCTCAACAAGGCAGTAATTGTTGGTGGGATTTGCAATGAATTGATTCAGTAAGCATTTTTATTATATAACTGTGTTGTTTTTTTTTATTAAAAATATTTATATTCTACATATTCATTTTATATTTACTTATTATACTGAAATAAGTTACTGATAATTTTAATTTGTGACTTTTATGTGTACCTGTGATGCTATGAAAAACTATATTAGATATTTATTATGATAGATATTCTTTTTTTGATTATGTATTATATTGGTTTGTTCTGTTTAGTTCAGATATGAGTGCTGAAATGATGTGTCAGTTATATGAAGGTCAGTTATCTAAGTATACTAATGTGATGAAAGGCTGGCAATTTCGTTGGTTTATTTTAGACCCCAAAACTGGGATCCTCAGCTATTTTCTTGTAAGTTTAGAAAATGAAATTATTTTTATTATTTAATAATAAAGGTCTTCATACTGTCCTCATTTATCTTCTTTATAATAAATCATTGACTTAAAATGACATAATTTTTTTCTGTTTCTATTTTATAATTAAATATCATTAGTTTGATATTCTATTGTAACTAAACAGTATTTTACTTTCACTTAACTATATATGTAGTATGTGGAGTGTTACGCCAATATATATGTATATATATATATATATATATATATATATTATATATATATATATATATATATATGCCAATATACTATATATTATAATAGTGTAATATATAGTAAGGGAAAGTATTGCGATCGTGAACATTTTAGAATCTCAGTCTTCAATGGAAATAAATGTTTTGAGGTCCCTTGAGTCTACATCTGTGTGCGTGCTAGTCCTGGAGCCTGTGGCAAAAAAGGTGTCATATAGTCTCTGGGCCAGAGTCTCCTACCGTGCACCCCCTCCCCATCCTCCACACATCCCTATAATTGCATATTGTTGTGTTCTTTGTAACTATTTATTTAAAAAAAGCCAATGTTCCCACAACAAAAAAGTGAACGCACTGCCCCGAAATGCCGTCTAAACATGGCGGACTGAAGACTTTGACTTAAGTTAGTTTTTTGGTCTCTGAGAATCACCATTTGGCTTAATTTCGTCATAGTTGGTCTTTTAGATAGTCAGAGAATAATAAAACATGAAAAAATATTGAAATATAATTGGTTTAGGCAATAAAAAACACCACTAAAGTCAATTTTTTTAACAAAATAATTTTCAAGTTGAAAATCAAGCGTCGTTTGTAATTAAACGGCCAACAATAACACAATACGTGCTCAAATAAAAAATCTGTAGAATTTATTCCTCTTTCTAAAACACTGATTACTTTTTGAAATATTTGAAGCAGTTTTGTAGAAAATGCACTGAAGCGGCAGAAAAGCGGTACTGGTGTAGGTGCCTACAGACTTCTACCACACCATTCAGAACTCATAAATGACTTAGTTATAGTGCTATAATGTTTTCGGTTCATTATATTGATTGTATTAATGAATAAATATTAATGCTATAATTTAATGGTACAAAAAAAATTTTTTTTTTTAATTTACTATTATTATTTTTTGAACTTTATTCTATACGGAGTTTATTTAAGGAGGCCTCTATTGTAAAAATTATATAATTATAATAATAAAACTTAATTCAAAAATGCTTTACTGAATTTCTTGAATTTTTTATTTAACGTTTGCAATTTAACACTTTGTTTTGTATATTTACTGATGCTTAGAGGTGATTTAAATTATATATACTGCCCCGGAAATGAGTCATATTAATACCTGTTTTATAAACTAAAATAATATATACCTAATTTCAACTATATTTAATGAATAGTTGCCGGGTTGTTTAGTTAAACTCATATATCAATAATAGAAAAAATATTTTTTTATTTCCTTTATTTTGTTCGGAAATTGGTCCATATCATAAAAAAATAGAAAATTTTAATATTGAATGCATTATTTTATTCTTTCTGCAAAAAGCAAGATGGAAAGGGCGAAGCTATAAGTTCTTCTTGGTAACCGGAACTGATTGTTAGTATTTGGTCTGTTTTGTCATGTTTTATTATTCTCTGACTATCCAGCTTTAATAAAAGACCAACTATGACAAAATTAAGCCAAATGCTGATTCTCAGTGACCAAAAAACTAACTAAAGTCAAAGTCGTCCACCAGTTTTGGAAGCCATTTTGGGGCAGTGCATTCACTTTTTTTGTGGGAACATTGCCCTTTTTTTAATAAATAGTTACAAGAAACACAACGATATGCAATTTATAGGGATGCGGGGGGAGGAGGGGAGGTGCATGGTAGGGGGGTCTGTCCTACTGTGTAATATTTCATACTAAGGTTTGTCCATATTAAATGACCTGATCTGAAGAATGCACGTCTGCCAGCATATATCCACTGGAATACAAGATGCCGGCCAGGTGAAGATAAGGACCCTAAATAGGTAGTAAACGTATACATATAGACAGCGTAAACGTATACATATAGGCTTACAGATATAGAAAGCTACCAACCATTTCAATTTGTAGTGTTTCAGCCTTCAAACATGAAATCATAATTAATTGCCTCATACCCGTGGATTTCAAGTCAAAAAATTGAATTTACGATACAAAAAGTTACTTGTTTTTCGATTTTTTGCTCATATCACTGAAACTATGCGTTCTATCTTTAATAATTTCATATGTGAAACTAAAGTTGGTAAAATTATAAATAGAAATGGTTATAGTTAGTAGTGTTTTTGCTATATTCTATACTTTCCGTGATAACCATCCTCATAATTTACTGATTTAAAAAAAAAAAATGGTTTTTGTCTTGAATTTTTATCATTATTTGACTCGCCAACTCTTTATCTTTTAATTTTACGAAAAAGTCATGAGGGAGAAAGTTGTTCAATATTAAACTTTTTTTAAGAGTATATATTATTTTACTATCCTATCTTCAACCATTCAAAGGCTAGGGCAATTATAACTTAATGATTAAACTCCGAAACTATACAGAAAAACTTACTTTTCACAATTTTCGTTATTATACAGTTCTTAATCTGTATATAAGATAGTATATATGTGTATACTATACAAGCCAATGTATACAGATGTACGTTGTCTTATATACAGATTAAGAGCTATGTAATAACGGAAATTGTGAAAAGTAAGTTTTTCTGTATAGTTTTGGGAACTTTCAGTGATATAAGCGGTGTGGGAACCTTGTGTGTGTGTGTGTGTGTGTGTGTGTGTGTGTGTGCGTGCGCGTGTGCGCGTGTGCGCGTGCGCGGGTGCGCGTGTGCCCGTGTGCGCGAGTGCGCGCGTGCGTGCGTGGTGCGTGCGTGTGTGCGTGCGTGCGTGTGTGTGTGTGCTTGCGTGCGTCACTTGGACTTCCTTATATATGAAAATACCGATCTACTCTAAGGTTGTTAAATGAAAGTTGGGTGATGCGCACACCACACCAGATATTTTAGTGTTTAGATAATCTCATAAACAAAAATTGATTATAAATTATTGATTTAAGGAGCACTGAGAAACTTTACTAGATGTTTCTTTTCCAGTGTAAAATTCCCTATGAATTGAAGGTGTCTCAATTCATTATAAATAATAAATATACTGTAATATACACTTTTATTGGAAGTTGGTAAAAATGGTTTAGTAAATTAATGTTGATCAGTTAAAAGGCTAGCTAATCTACTCCTGCTATTGTCGGGGGATGTTTTAATTTGAAAAATAGTTTCACTAGTTCAGGAAAAAGAAAAATGACTGCTCTGGAGTTTCCCCAAAGATGAAATTGGCTGGGGTCACTAGTTGTTGGTAGAGTGGAGAGAAATGATATCTCAGGGAGCTCTTGAGTTGAGTAGATGAAATTATTACCATATTGAAAGGTGTTTAGCAGAATATTAAAAAGTGATTAAATACAAGTGAATTACAGTGTCACAAGGGAAGAAACATTGAAGGAAGCTAGTCGACTGTTATACATATCATGGGCGATGAATACTCAGGACACAGGCATTATAAAAAAATTTTTTTAAATTTTTTTGTGCTATCGTTTCAACCCAAACATGTGGGTCATCTTCAGGGCTGAAAATTTTAAAATACAATCAGAGATATAATATTATACGACCGATAATGGTGAATAATAAACTATAATGGTTGATGGTACATGAATCTTAACTATTATTACAAGAATGAATAAAAGTAGAAACAGAATGAAATATATAAAAAGTTATACTAACTAAAAATAATATATATAATCTATTTATAAAAATTTGTAATATTTTCTCTTACTAACCGTGGTTCGAGCACTGAAGGCTTTCAAGTACCGACACATTTGGGAGGTAAGTGAAAAGATCGGGGGAGGGTTTCTCAATTGTCCTTTTTCAGATAGCAAAGGTAGGTAAACATAGTCAGAGGGGGAGAGAGGAGGTAACATTTCTGTTAGTAGAATGTAAATAATTTGCTGACTAAATATTTAAGATGTGTACAAGATTTGCGTTGTTTCTTACGGTTACAGAATTGTGAATATTGGTTAGTAATGAAATGAGCATAAGCAAGAGGTGCCAATCAATATAAATACAAAATAGTTTGATTAAAGCTATACAATGGTTAGCCAAAGAATATTTATAATAAAGGCAATTGTAATGGATGAAAAGATACGTAGGACAATATATTATACAGTATTTTAAAAATAACAATATTAATCATAATAGAAGTATGTATTATATTAAGGATTACATAGTTTTAACAGTATAAGTATAAACATATCTGTGTCTGTTTATAGTATATATTTATATTGAGAATGGGTATTATATGTATATATATATATATATATATATATATATATATATATATATATATATAAACGTAGGAGTAGTTACCTATGTAAGTTGGCGGGAAAATGAAAAACAAAATTTTAATGATTATAGACTCTTGTTTTAGGAGGCAGAAAATATTCGAATATGTGTTGCAGATATTTTCTTTGTCTACTTTGTGGTTTACTGGGTTATTTTTTTCTAAATTGATGAATATAGCTTTAGAAAGTAGTCGTTTTTGCTGATTGGGAACTGTGGCAATTATGGTTGGGTTTTCAAAATCAAATGTGTGGTTGAGGGTTATGGCATGTTCGGCAAGTTTCATACCAAATATTGCATACCATATCACATGCTCTAGCCCAAACTACAATTCTTCTTATATAGAAGAAACCAAAAACTATTTTAAAAAACTAATATATCAACACAAATACAGCATCTCCACACAAAACCCGTTCGCCTCGAAACTTATTAAAATACTGTATAATATATTGTCCTATGTATCTTTTCAATCCATTACAATTCTCTTTATTATAAATATTATTTGGCTAACCATTGTATACCTTTAATCAAACTATATTGTATTTATATTGATTGGCACCTCTTGCTTATGCTCATTTCATTACTAGCCAATATTCACAATTCTGTAACCGTAAGAAACAACACAAATCTTGTACACATCTTAAATATTTAGTCAGCAAATTATTTACATTCTACTAACAGAAATGTTACCTCCCTCCCCCCCTCTAACTATGTTTACCTACCTTTTGCTATCTGAAAAAGGACAACCTGGAAATCCTCCCCCGATCTTTTCACTTCCCTACCAAATTCATCAGTACTTGAAAGCCTTCAGTTAGTAAGAGAAAATATTTCAAATTTTTATAAATAAATTATATATTTCATTTTTAGTTTGTATAACTTTTTACATATTTCATTCTTAATATTGTGTATTGTAATAATAGTTAAGATTCATGTACCATCAATCCCTAAATGAACCCCTAACCAATAGTTAACCTTCATTGTATTTATTAATGTATTTGAAGATATTAAAAATTAATTTAGCATTAATAATTAATTAAGTACAAGAATTTCAGGCAATAAACTTCTATGTTTTTCTGATTAGTTTAAAACCAATAAATAAATATGATTAATCTAAAAATGTCATGCATAAAATCACTTTATCAACTCAATCATAACATCAACTACATACAGGAGCAGAATCAAGCAGGCGTTGAAACTTTTTTAAGAAATTCCATTTTAACAGTTTCTATAAAACATTTTAGGGAAAAAGTTCTATTTTTTACAGTTTCTCTGAAAAATTGTAGGAAAAAAGTGTTTATAATAAAAATTCTAAGGAACTTTTTTGTAATGAAGTTCCACATTTATGGTCAAATTTTAACTTGTATTTATTATTTATTGTATTAAGTATCCTTAATTTATCCTATATTATACCATTATACTATATTATCCTTAATATATACTATATTACAGTAAACTGCCTCTTTATTTTAATTCGTTTTCGTTTTCTTTAATCTCACATTTTGAGTTTAATTCAGCAATATTATTTAATATTTATTATCTCTGTTTTGTACTATATCCAGATTATTTCCATTCTCTTTCAATTAAACTTTTGCTTAATAACTCATAGAATTTATCTATAATATCTTTTGTAAAACCTTCACTTGTTAAGTTGCTACAGAAAAAGTTTTAGTTCCAAAAGAACTGAAAAACTATCGACAATAAAAAATCCGGTGATACCGAAACTTTTTGAAAGTAAGAGTTTTTTTTCTGTTTCAAGCCCTGGAATTAAGATGTGTTGGGGCCTAAACATTAAAAATTTTGGGACTCTTCTCCAAAAAAAGTTTAAATTCAGAGACCATAAATTTCACTTTTGTAGAAAGATTTTTTAAAATATTTTTGATTAAAATATTTAAGTTAAGATACTTTTGACTTTAAGACTCACTTGGGGTCCTTTGCTGTCTGTGGTCCTACGGCAGCTCACTTACCATTTAATCTACCCATGACTTCAAATACCTTAATTCTATCTTAATTTTAAGGATTATAACCATCAAAATAAATATATTTTTTTTTTTTAGAATGAAAATGAAAGAAAGCAAAATCCAAGAGGTTGGATACATCTTGAATCAGCTGTTATTTCACCTAGTGATGAAGATTCTAACACTTTCACTGTCAATTCTACATCTGGTGAAAGTTTTAAATTGAGGGCACAGGATGCCAAAGCTCGCCAAGAATGGGTTAATAGATTAAGAGCAGTTTCTCAACTCCATGCTAGTGCAACAGCTCAGGTAAAATTGTTTAACAATTTTAATTTTTTTTTTGCTCTTTTACCTTTTTTTTCACACCCAGCCTCTATAACGTGAATTTAATTGTGATTAATAATCATTTAATTATTGAAATTAATTGCTTCAGGAGAAAAAAAAAAATGACCAAAACAAATCCCTGTTCAACAGTTGGTATGGCAACAGTACTTTTGTACAAATTGCTGAACCCAAGACACCTTCATGGGTTGTATTGGTCAGAGTCGTGCCAAACAAACAAACTTATTTAGATCTGCATTACAAATAATTTTCTTCGATTTAGGAGTCTACACTATTACATTTTGGTTAACTCTATCATATCGATTAATTTCAACATTTCAATATTGGAATTTTTATTTATTATGTTTTTGGGGGTATAGTTTTTGAAAAAAATATTGATTTTAAGACTACTTTCACAGTTAACGATTTATTATCAATTATTTTCAACTGTTCAGATTTCTTCGATATAGGGGTCTGTTATTACGTTATCGGGTACATAGTTTTTTAAAACACTATCAGATTTGGCATTACTCATACACGTATCGATTTATTATCAATTATTTTCAACTTTTCAGATTTCTTCAATTACGGGATCTGTTATTATGTTATGGCGGGCATAGTTTTTAAAAACACCATCGAATTTGGGTATAGAATTATTGTTGATTAATTTTATCTTTTCAGTTGGCATCGCAATATATATTCTCCATGCACCAGCACTATGCAGTTATCCGAAATCAAAAAAGTTATTTTTGAAATTGATAAAAATTGCGTTCATAATTTATACACTGACAGGCAAATAATTCCACCCACTTGATTTTTTCATGTTTTCATCTAAAAATATTTTTGCTTTGGATTAGTCTATTGTTTTTAATGAATAAATAGGTTTTTGTTTGTTTTCAATTAGGAATGTTAATATTGAGGACAATAACCCTTAATCCTTAATTCAATGAAATGATTCTAGATTCCAATGTTTACTTTCTATGGAATCAAAATGTTTATTCAGTATCATTAGTTCAGTGCTGTTTCTTGCAGCACATTTCTTAGTCTCCGGCTTTTAATTTTTTCAATATTAAGTTTAAAAATGCCTCTTAGTGCTGAGGATGTTGCGCGTGGTGTGGCACTTATTGATGATGGACGTTCCATTAGATATGCAGCTAATGCCATCGGAGTTCCATATGAAACTTTACGAGACACCGTCAGGCGTTTTCGGGAAACTGGTTCTTACAATAGAAGGCCCGGTTCTGGACGGCCTAGGGTAACAGAACCACGGGATGACCGGTTTTTGACTTTGAGAATTTTACGAAACCGGCACCTTACCGTTGTTCAAGCGATTCATCAGCTCGAAGAAGTTCGAGGTGTGCAAATTTCTGAACGTACCGCTCGGAGAAGATTAAATGAGTATTAATGGCTTTTCGTCCAGTAAGAGGACCAGAGTTGACCAGAACTCACAGAGTAACACGACTGGCTTTTGCTCGAGAACACAGCCATTGGACTATGGACGAATAGAGTGCTGTACTTTTTACAGATGAGTCAAGATTCGCTCTTCGATCTCCAGACGGGCGTGAAAGGGTGTGGAAAAGAAGAAACAAAAGACATGCAGCCTGTAATTTTTCTCAGAGCCAACCTTTCCAACGTGGTTCCTTAATGGTGTGGGCTGAGATTTCAATGGAGCGCCGCACAGAATTGGTTGTTGTTCGTTTAGGGTCTTTGACGGCCATTCACTATGTAGATGAGATTTTGGAACCTCATGTGTTGCCTATCCTCAACGAAATCGGCAATTGTTCTATTCTAATGCACGATAATGCACGCCCACATGTGGCCCGCATAGTGCAGACGTTCCTTCAACAGAACAATAGTGCACTACTAAACGACGATGTAATTAATTTCTTTTAGAATAATAATGGTTCGTTTTTCAATTTTTTTTTTCTCTAATCTTTCTTACCCAATCTCATTTTGATTATTAAAGGTAAAAATGATTATAAAATTCCATAAATACTAAGTATTGTCTACAAATACCATGTATTATATACCATGTATTATATGTATTATATAAAAATACAACTTTACAGAAATATTTTTAGATGAAAACATGGAAAAATCAAGTTGGTGGAATTTTTTGCCTGTCAGTATATTTTCCGCATTAAATAGTCATAATGTAATATCACATAAACTTTACTTCATCATTAGTAATTTGAAATTTATATAGCTATATATTAATTAGGTAATCTTTTTTATTGTTTTCACAATGAGTATAAAGAATGTTTAATCAGACAGATAACAATAACACTTTAAATCTCATCAATTAATTTATTAATTAATACAGCCCCAACATATAATATAGCAAGTCACAATTAGCAATATTAAATTCTTTAGTGTTTTCAAAAACTACGCCTTAGCCTAAGAATAGTCCCATATATCATTGAAATGCCTTGTAAAAAAAGAATCTTTTAACTTCTTAGAGGATTGTTCCCTTATCAGATCATTCCAATCTGGCTTTCGACTGGGCTTCTCTAGACAATCTGACCTCCATAAAATAATCCATGATCTCCAAAACTCCATTGAATACCAAAACCTTACCATCCTCATCCTTCTAGATTTTTCCTTAGCGTTTGACACAGTTGACCATAACGTCCTCCTTACTAAATTGCAGAATTTTCCTCTATCCATTAGTGCCCTGTGTTGGTTCAAATCCTTCCTTTCAGATCGGTCCCAGGATGTAGTTTTCCCAGGTCGACCTCCTTCTAAGAAATTAAATGAAAAATTAATTTTATTCTGGGACTAAAGTTTTCTTAGAATAATAACAGAGTTCAAAAAACATATACATCAGTCTGGCACAGTGAGTCTAGAAAGAAGTAGAGTCTCCTTTGGCTGGGGCAAGATGTGTCCTATTACCCTACCCTAATTGGACCTTACTCGATTACCTCTCCACACCCTACAGTGGTTAAAAATTGACATTTTTCGGAGAATACTGATATGTAAGTCACAGAAAAATAGTTTTTGATACTGTCTTAATCACAATTAAATTTGATATAATATTATACCAATATAGTTCGGATTAACTATTGGTAAAAGAGAAAAACGGAGAATAATTATTTTTTTATCTCAGAATCGGCTAGTTTTAACTAACTAAATTATTAAAACAAATGAGATAGTTGTTTTTATTACAACCAATCTTGACCTGGGAACATATATTAAGAAAATTAATGGGGTAGCACAATAATAAAGGTAGGATTAACAGGGTAACAAATAGCAAAAATCTTGCTATAGTGTGAAAGAAAAGGGATTATCTACATTTTACATCTTTCAGTAGCCTCCTAGCACTTGCAATTTTATTCTAATTAATGAAAACACTTAAATTTGATTTTTAAAAAATAAATGTTTAACCGACCTTGTGAAGACTATTAAATAGCGAACAATCGTTTACACACTTAAATTAAATCATCTATACCAGTAAAGTTACAAAATGGGGGTCTAATCAAGTCAAATGCATCATATATTAATACACATACAAGCAATAATTTAATTTTTGTACACACTTTTAATTTTAATTGTTATCGAATATTGGAGTTTTTCTGTAAAACATTGGAGTAACAGGCTCAGATTTCGTTTCAACCGGACATGTCTCGATTCTGACTAGGACTAATTATCGGGGTAGTATTGTGCTTTAAAAAGTTTGTATAGTTGAATCTATGAAATGTCTATTCTTTAAAAAGCATTAAATTGATTATCAATTTTATAAAATAAATAAAAGCAAAATCATGATTTTCTGTGCTACCAAAAACTCGTATCATGAAATTATTTTTAAAATTTAAACTGATTAAATATGTACCAACTTTTATACTACATGATAAGAATACGACGGAGATCCTTGTTTTTAATCTGAAAGAATTAAAATCTGAAGAAATATTTTTTTAAATTTAATTTTTGTTATACCTATACTTTTTTTAACATTTAATTATATTTAAGTGAAAGATTACACATTAAATATCAAGATATACTAATTTATACATCATATAATAAAAATACGATAGAATTTTGGTTTAATGGTTTAATTAATAAAAAATTTTAAAATCTGTGAAAAATAATAAGAACCAACAAAACATTTAAGAGTGATATAAATATTTATATAATTATAGTAATAAAAAGATGGAACAAATTAAAATTCAGTGCTTGGTAAGAGCCCACCCAAAGAGAAATAGATCCATTAGTGGTGGGGATACTAGATCACATCTCCATCCCTCTATCTGCTATGGGGAAGGCGTTTCTAGATTATTCTATACTCATGTAAGGTCTGGAATGTAGATATAACAGATAAATACAAAAAATAAAGAGAGAAAAATAAATATAAAAATAAAATGGCTCTGATCATTTAACTGTTGGTGAGAAATTGTATTTAAATAACCTAAAAATTCATATAGGCAGGTGGAAGTTTGAATGTGTAGTAAGTGGTGAAAAAGGAGTTGTTTGAAGGAATTTGTGGACTTGGTTTGACATAGGGAGATAGGCAAGGAGTTCCAAAAGGAGGTAGCACAGATGCCAAAGGATTTGCAGATAGAAGTTGTTTTATGGGAGGGGTATACAGTATGTAGATCTATAGGTTGAGATCTGGTATTAAGAGAGTGTATAGAGGAGCGTAGAGTAAGAAGTTCTTGGATTTTTGGTTCTGAGGACTTGGAAAAGGAAAATACCTTGAAGAAACACCTTCCTTTTCCTGTGGTGTCCCTCAAGGTTCCTCTTCTATCTCCTACTCTGTTTCCTATTTATATTAATGACCTTCCCCTCCTGACACATCACTCCCAATACCATATCTATGCAGATGATTTCCAAATATATCTGTCCTTCCCGCTTTCGGACCTATTACCAGCCTCAAGGAGATTTAAATAGAATTCATGACTGGGGAGGAGCTAACAAGTTGAAGTTGAATGTGGAGAAGACTCTGGCAATTTTAATAGGCTCTAATCACCTCCTTAAAACTGCTCCTAACATTCCAACCATGTTCCTACATGATAATCCCATAAAGTTTTATCCCACCATCAAAAACCTTGGGATGACCTTTGATCAAATGCTTTCCTGCAAAAACTATGTATCCAATGTCTCATGCCATAACTTTTCTACCTTTTAATGTCTAAATTACCTCTGTAACCTATTTCCATTTGAAACCCATATATACCAATAAATAAAATATTATATTTAAATTTAAAGAATATTAAATTATTCAACAAAATATAACCCTTATAAATTATACAATTAAATTTTAATAACACAAATAAACCGTTTATAAATCATAGCATTTAATAATAAAATATTATTTGCAATAATCTTCAATAACTTGAATAAATAATTGTTATAAATTTAATTACAAGACTAGTAATTATTTTTTTAATTGTTAATAATGATAATTAGGCTCAAAGTTATTTTAATATTTAGATTGTGCAGAATATGTACATACATAATAAAGCGCTGTTACTTGTTGATTGGAATGATGTATTCAGTTCTGATAGTCTGTTCAGTTCTTCATGTCTTGTTAGTCTGGAGTGGGAGTGAAGTGAGTCCTCTTCTACCTCCTCTTATCCGATTTTATCAAATTTGAGCAGTCACACTCTATGTGAATATTGGAGAACTGGACTTTCTGTGATTTCCTGCTAAATATTTCTATAGCTTATGTAAAAAACTGCAAAGTCATGTGATTCACAGTGAGTGTACATCACTCTGCGAGCTACTGAACTTAATACTTCTGAGATTTTGAGAAAACTGACTTTTGAGTTACACTTCCGCTCATTCTTGCATCACCTCATAATACTAATTAATTTACATGAAAATTTGATTATGATATGGTTTCTATTCACTAACTATACATATAACCTATTTAACCATACCATAATATTATATATATATATATATATATATATATATATATGCATGTACCATTTATTATTTTTATAGAATAATCCACCATTGCCACCGAGAGAACATCATGCTGTGAGTCCAAAACAATCTTCTGGTACTGGAACCACATCACCTTCATTAGCTTTATGGGAAGCATTTACTGCAGTTCGAGAACATCTTTTTAGAGCAGAACAACATCACCTGTTACTATCTCGAACAATTGATGAACTTCCGAGCAATGGTATTGATGATTTCTTTTAGTTACTTTATTCAGTAGTATTTTTTTTTTAGGATTTGAATGTAAATTATTCCTTAGTACAATGACTGAATTAAATAATACATGTTACAAAGTTCTCTATCCTGAATTTCAGGTAGAAGATTGGAAGGTTTATGTACATTTTTATTCAATTGAATCATCATAAGTACTCCAGTCGGTGTTAAACTGTTTCCGCTATGCAGGATTAGCAGACTATAGACTAGGAGGTGCTTGTGCACCTTGTTTGTAATAAAAAAGTTCATATAGACCAGAGGTCTCCAATCTTTTTTGGCCCAGAGGCCACATTGGGACCTCCACTATATTCTGTGGGCCACATTAAGATTTCCACTATGTTTCGCAGACCGTGACTTGTCTATAAAAGACGCTTCAGATGTAGAATCAGTTTCCTAAGAGAAACAATTAGTGCAATAAATGTTGTAGTAACCTTATATTTGAGTGATTATAAATTTCATATTTTTTTTAAATTTTACTATGTAATCAAAGAAATATTCGCGTGCAGGATTGAAGGAGGTGGCCGACTGAATCCTGGCTACCGGCCATAGTTTGCAGACTCCTGATATAGACAATAGTCCAGTTCCAAACAGAAAAGCAATTAAGTAATTTTTTTTTTTTAGTTTCTTTTTTAATAAGAAGCAATATCTAAAAACTATTTAATTTAGATAATTGAAAATTGTATCATTGATAAATAAAAAAGTATTCTTAAGATGAAAGTTGAATTTGTTTTTTAAAATGGTTTTGAGGGAGCTTTTAAGTGGTTAAACTATGCTAAGTCCTATTTTTCATAAAAACTAAACTTAAATTTCCTTTTTTTATGTGTGGAACTGGATCATGTTCTTTATAAACTTGTTTGTTGGGAATGAGGTATAGAATCGCCTCCTGGCCTAAGGTCCACTGATCCTGATACACCCTATATATACACAGGGTGTCCCGTAAGTAGAGGCAAATTTTTATAGGAGTGATAGCAGACCTCAGGAGCTATAAAAAAGATTCAAATAAACAATAGGCCAGTTGTCAGCAGAAAAGTAGAAAATCCAAGTTTTGTGTTTTTTTAAGTAAGTCATGTTTTTTTGTTGAATAGGAAGCGATAACTAAAGAAATATTTAATTTAAGTAATTAACAATCACTTCACTGTTAACTAGATAAAATTTACTTTATTTGAAAATAAAGTTTGTGATTGTTAAAACCATTTAAAGAGAATTTTTTAGCAGCTCTATTTTTAAAAATATCATACATCATTCGTGATTCTTTTTTATCATCACCAAATTACACTAAAGATACCCCACTTCTCCGTTTAATAAGCTTTGAGTCTGTATTAAATAAATTGATGTTTATTAGGAAAAAATTGCGATTCATCTTAAGTTGTGTAAAAAAATTCTGTGGCTTTTCATCCTATTAAGTAAAAGTACCCTTGTTTTCAGCAAAGATGACTACAATTAATTGTTGTAAAGCTTTTATTTCTTGTCTTTCTATGATCAGGGATGTTTTACAATAAAAATAATTGCCTAAATACAATTTTTATTTATAATAAAAATAATTTTGAAAAATTCTAATTTTTCAAATATTTTTCCGTTAGTGCTTATGAAACTGTTTTTTTCATTCAAATTTGTATTATATGAATTGATCCGTATTTATAAGGGGCAAACTAAACGTTCCTGAACCAAAAATTAAAGTTTTCATGAAAATAATTGAGGCAATCAGCTGGTTTCTTTATTTTAAAACGTACATTTTAGTACTAGAAACATTTATTTTGTCAACTATATATACTCACAAAGTCCTATAATACAAATCTGGATGAAAAACACAGTTTCATAAAAACTTTACATGAAACATTATTATTTTAATTTTTGTTTTTATAAAATGTGTATTTAGGAAATTATATTCCAAACCATAGAAAAACTAGAAATAAAAGCTTTGCAACAATTAATTGTAGTTATTTTTTCTGAAAACACCGGTACTGTTAGGTGACTGGATAAAAAATCACATAATTTTTTTTACACAACTAGAGGTGAATCTCAAGTTTTTCCCTAATAAACTTCATTTTAATTATTATGGACTCTATGCTTATTAATCAAGAAACTTTTTTTAACAGTGGGGTAAATGTAGTACAGTTGAAGGGTGATAAAAAAAAAAAAACCCAATAATTTGTGACTTTTTTTTAAAATGGAACTTAGCTGTGTTTAGCCGCTCAAAAGTCCTGTTTAAATAGTTTTAACAATGACAAACTCTACTTTCGTTTAAAGTCAATTTTGTCTAGTTTACTATGGAGTAATGTTTAATTACTTAAATAAATTAAATATTTTTTAAGTTATCGCCTCCTATTCAACAAAAAACTTGAATTGCTGTCACGTTGTTGTTTATATGAACTTTTTGTGTATAAATATTTATACACACACACACACACATATATATATATATATATATATATATATATATATATATATATACAGGGTGTCCCATAAGTAGTTGGAGAATGATTTAAAAAATCACGAACAATTTATGATTTGTTTAAAAACATAATTTAGCTTAGTTTAGCCTCTCAAAAGTCCACTTTTAATAGTTTTCACAATGAAAAACTCTATTTTCTTTTAAAGTGAATTGTGTCTAGTTTATTGTGATTATTGTGCAATTGTTAATTACTTAAATTACGTATTTTTTTAGTTCTCGTTTCCTATTCAACAAAAAGATGTGACTGGCCCCCCAAAATAACACATAACTTAAATACATTTCCTACTCTTCTGCTGGAAAATGGAACAATTGCTTATATAAACTTTTTTGTTGCTCTTGATGTCTATCAATCTTTTAAAAATTTCCCTCTACTTACAGGACACTCTGTATATATATAATTTTGCAAAATTTCTCCTATTGACCTTTGATTATTATGTTTATATATATATATATATATATATATATATATATATATATATATATATATATATATGTAATTAATATTAGTTTTTGTACAAGTATAATTTCCATATCGTCAACCCATTGCTTTTATTTCAACATATGTGATGTTTAATAAGAAATTGATAAAACTGTTCACAAAATTTGTTACTTTGTAATTTGGATACACATACTTATCTAGTATCAGATGAGAATAATAATAATAATAAGGCTTAGCGAACCCGAAGGTTCGATGCCGACACCACCAATCGCTTGTTACACACCTCCCTCCACCGTTCGCCGTTCAAACCCAGTCCCTTCAGATCGGCTTTAATGCAATCTTCCCACCTTCGCTTCGGTCTACCCCTCGGACGCCTATCATTCGGCACAGCAAATATTAACCTTTTAGGAATTCTCTCGTTACTAAGCCCAACAACTTTACAAGCCCATTTGATTCGCCGCGATGAAATTACCTCAATTATATTACCCGGATACAGCTCACGCAATTCGGCGTTGTGTAACCGTCTGAACTCTCCGGTTAACTCATCCTTCTTCGGTCCGAATATTCTACGCAATACTTTATTTTCAAAAACCTTAAGACGCTGCTCATCCCTTAAAGTAAGCGGCCAAGTTTCGCATCCATAAAGAACTGTAGGCAAGATAATTGTTTTATAGATTCTAATTTTTAAGTTTCGGGACAAGAGGCGCGAACTAAGTAGTTTTGTCACAGAAAAATAACAAGCATTCCCCGCCTTCAGTCTAACCTTAATCTCTTCTTCAATTTCGTTTTTTCTAGTTATCGTAGAACCTAGATACCTAAATTTATCTACCTGTTCAAACATATTACCATCTATATCGATATCACCAGTAGTATCGCCATTTTTGCAGCTAACCATATATTTTGTTTTATCCAGGTTTATTTCGAGTCCTAGTTCTTTACCAGCTTTCATTAACGTTGTCGTATTTAGTTTTATAGTTTCAACGTCTTCGCTTAACAGTACCAGATCATCAGCATAGCCCAGCACGGATGTTGTCCCGCCCAGATCCAACCCTCTCTCGGTTCGCATTACCTCCCTAATGGCATGTTCTAATGCCAAATTGAACAGGACAGGCGAAAGAGAATCCCCCTGTTTTAAGCCCGAACGAACCTCAAATTTTTCGGACAAATTATTACCGATTCTAACTTTATTGAGTGTCTCCGTCAAGCACATCCTGACTAGATTTACTAGTTTTTTTGGAATCCCCTGCTCGATTAGAATATTATACAGTTTCTGGCGGTCAATAGAATCGTAAGCCTTTTTAAAATCTATATACAGCTGGTGAACAATACCGTTATACTCCAATTTTTTCTCTAATATTTGCCGTAAAGAAAATATTTGATCAATTGTCGAACGATTCCGTCTAAATCCGCATTGGTAGTCTCCGATAATTTCCTCGGCGTATTCCGTGATTCGACTGGTTAAGATTAAAGTGAATATTTTATAACATACCGGAAGGAGTGAAATTCCTCGATAGTTATTACAATCCGTCCTCGGACCCTTTTTGTGAACCGGAATAAGAATAGATTCTTTCCATTCTTCAGGTAATTTCTCGTTCACCCAGATCTTTTTAACCAACCGATGTATTTTAGAAACTCCAGCTTCCCCGCATGCCTTAATTAGTTCAGTAGGAATATTATCGATTCCCGCTGCTTTATATGATTTTAATTTTCCGATAGCTACTTCAACTTCCTCTTTACTTGGTCCTTCTATTAACGGTTCAGCACTCTGGTACTCAGAAGGAGGACACAGATCATAATTTCCCGTATTTAAACTATTGTCAAAGTGGTCCTTAAACTTATTCAATATGTCAACCGGATCGGTCAGAATATTGTTATTATCATCCCTAATTCCAGACGTTACGGGCCCTACATATTTACGTGATCTGTTTATACATTTGTACAAGTCTCTTACGTTATTTTCGATTCTATTAGTTTCTATTTCAATTATTTTATTTTTAAGATACTCCCTTTTTTTATTTTTGAGCAATTTTGTCGTTTCGTTCTTTGAGATTCGGAAGTATTCCAGATTGTCTTCGCTAGGATTATTTACAGCTTTTAATTTAGCAGCTTTTCTTTTTTCACACATGTTTAAGCAATCTTCATCAAACCACGGTTTGTTATTCTTATTTTCCTTTTTTCCTAGACACGAGTTACCGACCGCTTTAATATTATCTCTGATCTCTACCCATAACTTGTCAATATCCTCGTGGTCCTCGTCAGGAAGCTCTAAAGCTTCAAACCTATTCTTAACATCTAGCTCGAATTGGTTTCTAATTGATGGATTTTTTAATTTTTCCAAATTAAAATTCTCAAAATCGAAACGGTTTTCTTTTCTCTTTTTTATATTAAGTTTTTGTCGAAGTTTCGCGATTACTAATTCATGATCCGACCCACATTCTGCTCCGCGATAAGACCGTACATTAATTATACTGCTTTGTCAGCTATGTTGTATCAAGACATGATCGATTTGATTTCGTGTTTGCGAATCCGGTGATGTCCAAGTATATTTATGAATATCCTTGTGTTTAAACGTCGTACTTTTAATTATCAGGTTTTTCGAGATGGCAAAGTTTATCAGACGGATCCCATTATCATTACTATATTCGTGCAAACTTTCTTTACCAATCGTCGGAATATAAACTTCTTCCCTTCCTACCTTTGCGTTCGCGTCACCTACAATTATTTTCATGTAGTTTCGCGGTAGTTTATCATAAACCCATTCGAGTTTATCGTAAAATTCACTTTTGACTTCATCGTCACTGTCTTCGGTCGGACAATGTATGTTTATTAATGCGATTTTAAACCAACGTCCCTGAAATGTAGCTACCGAAATTCTATCACTAAAGAATTGTACGTCCCTCAAAGCGGATAGTAATCTGCTCCTAATTAGAAACCCGGTACCCAAACAATGATTCCCGCTTCCTCCGTACCAAATAGTGTACTTTCCTTCCCTCATCGAGCCCTCCCCTGGCCAGCGAACCTCTTGCAGAGCCACGACATCCAAATTGTACCCATTTACCTCATTCGCGACCGATTTTAGCCCCCCTGCTGTGTTTAAACTCCTTACGTTCCACGTACCAATATTTAAATCCCTATATTTCAACTTGCACCATGAATCCCCTAAAGCAGTCCCCACCCGGAGACCCGAACGGGGGACTAGTTTACCTCCGGATAATGAGCGTTTTACCTTAGGGAGATCCATGACTTTTTGTGGTGTTTGGTGAACTAAAGATATGTGAGTAGGGCGTTCAATCCTACGTCACACCCTCCAGCAAGTCTGGTGGGCCCCTATCTCCAGCAAGTCTGGAGGTCCCCTCCCTCCAGCAAGTCTGGAGGGCCCCTCTCATTGTTGGTCAGCGAGTCCATCGGACTTAGCCGGGAGGAACTTCTAAGGAATTTCCACCGACCATCCCCACATCCGCCACCCGTGGGACGCTCCCCATACGCGGTAATGAGCCTGCGCAAGGATCAGATGAGAATGGGCAACAAATTTCTCTCATTGGGCAATGGAAAGTACAATTGACCTAATAATGGACTTTCAGTGATAAATCATCCATCCATACAGATTAGATTTTAAAATGAAAACTTATTTTGATGAAATATAGTTTATGTTCATGTTTTTAATTGACTTAATAATGGTAACTTAATAGCAAGTCAGATTTACTCCTTAAGAGGAGGAGGGGGGCAGTTTATTTTTCTTTTAAGTATTCTATGCATGCTGTTTCCAAGGAAAATAAATCACTTTCTTATTTGAATATTCAGCATTTATTTATATTGGGTATTATAATAAAAAAACTTATGTTCTTTTGATTGTTATCTCATATGGGTAATATATTTTTCAGTATAAAGTTACTGCCATATAATTTTATTTTAATCCATAATGTTATATCCACGTAATCTCCTATATTTTGTAAAATTATATTTTTTTTTTTCAGGTAAATTAAAACATGTTGATCCTGATCTTCTGATGTTAAAAGCATCTTCTCATGCAATGCTCGTTTCTTTGAACCAATGCTTGTTTATACTTCAACAGCAAACCCAAGATGTTATGAACTCTAAAGTCAAAGGTTCATCAAAGCATGATCATTCCATTCCTCACTCTAAAAAGAAATTTCCTATTTGATAAGTTTATCTTTTCATAGGTATTTGTTTATTAAATATTGCATATTGTAAACAACTTTTTGCTACAATGTATATTTAGTATAGTACTTTCCCTAATCTGACATCGCTAGGACAAAACCATGCTGGATATTGGAAATCATTAAGTCCTCTCCAATAATATATTAATACAATAATTGATTAAAACTTACATATGTGTGTGTGTGTGTGTGTGTGTGTGTGTGTGTATGTTTATCTTTATGATTATTATTTTTTTCAAAATGTCATATTTTTAAAATATTTAACTTACAATATTTGATTCCCCTGATATCCAAAATCAACTCTTTCAAGACAAATCTTTTATGTTTTCCTCTTAAGTGAATAAGCATTTATTTTATTTCTGTTTGCTTAAATTTTAAATTTGGAAAAAAGTTGAATACAAATTATTCACCAAATTTCTACTCTTTAAAACATAAGAATATTTAAAACTTTTATTTTTCATGGAAAAATTCATTTAACATTTCTTCATGATATATTTTGCTAAAACTCATGCCTCATAGTTAATTAATTTTGTTTGAATATCCTAAACTTTTCCTTGAACTTAATTTAAAGGAATATATAGAAGATTTATTAAGTGCTAAGATAAATCAATTCTCACCATTAAACATTGTTTCATTAACTTAAAATTCTGAAAATTTTCAACTTTTTTTTAAATTAGTACGATTTTTATATTTATAAAACAATTTCAATCAATTATAAAATGAACTCTTATCATATTCTATTAACACAAAAAATTTTTTTTCCGATTATTAAAGCTTTTCTTCTTAAATTCTGATTAATGAAAGTTCCTCTGTGTTGGTGAAGTTTAGATTGACAAGCATACATTGTTATAGAATTTAGATTTTTATCTAATTTTTTTAAATAATGACATTGATCGAAATTTTGTTGAAGCTAATAAAGGATTAAGCCCCATGTCATTGATAAAATTGAAATACCTCTTTATCAAAACTAAATAATACCTCCAATTAATATTTTTTTCTCCCTTTGCAGGCGTTGGATAAAGAAATGTGCTGTTTTATTGAACAACCGGATAAGAGAGAGAGTTTACTGTACTCTATTATAAGGTGTAATAAAGTAAAAGTTAATTAGTTCAGAAGTTATAAAATATTTAAAATTCATTTAATTTTTAAATATGCTATCACCAATATATATATATATATATATATATATATATATATATATATATATATATATATGTATATTTAAGTTTTAACATGTTTTATAACTTTAAAAGTTTATTAATATTAGTTGTAACTGTTATGTTTCATGAAAACTTAAAATATATCCTTCATTAAATATAGATAGATAATTTTGTTTCCACTATTTTAAAATTTATTGCTACTAATTCTGTTGTATTAATTTTATCATCATTGAGTTTTCATGAAGTTAAACTTGTCAGTGATATGTTATGTTTTGATTTAGTTTATATTAAAAAAAAAGTTATATGGATATAAAAGTAACTGAACCTAAATTGACCTATTTCTTAATATGACGTGCATATTTAACTCTAATTTTGCTTCAAAAGACATTAGTATTGTTAAATAAACATTAGTTATGATATGAAATTAACATTAGTCAAGTTTTAATTTGTTAAGAATGGTTAACAATTAATCTGTAAACCGTGAAATTATGGATATCTAATTATTCTTGGTTCTTCCTTTTATTACTATTTACTTTAAGAAGATAAAGCGTGAAGGCAAAGTATGGATTTTTAATGACTTAAATATTATGTTTCCATTGTTAATCCTATTTAGCTAAATGTGCTTTATTTTATATTTTCAGTATTAGTTTGCTTCTACCATTATTTATTTAAGAAAATATTAATATTGGTATTTTGAAAATTGATATCTCCTTCATTAAAATAATTTTATATGTTTCAATAGAACTTATCACAAATTATGATGTCTTAATATTAATGATATACACCTTTTCCTCATTAAGTTCTCATGATTACGAAAAAAAAAAAAAATGATAAAAAACAATTTTCGCTCTTTCACCTCTTTTTTTTTTTTTAATACCTGATGTCTAAATAAGTCTTGAATAATTGTTTGTTGTTAGTTGATAATAAAAAATAGCTCCTGGGTATGGGACAGAAATATTTTTGGTTTATAAGAAACAGTTATTCATGAAGGGATATGATAAAAATAAAATTAATACTTGGTTGAGATATGAAGAATTGTAAGGGAAGTTGCTAGTGTGAGTGTGGTCATAGATAAGGTAACCCGCTATGATTAAGGCCTAAAACCTATGGCAAAACATTGACACGCAATAAAATAAGATTTCTTATTTGTGGGTTGTCTCATCTATAGCTGCATCATCGAACTGACTTCCCCATCATAAATAACTCTTCTTTTGTATTAGATTTTTAGAAAAAATCACATTTTTACTAAGGAGCATTCTTAAAGCTTAAAAGAAAATGCAATGTGGGAATGGGGGTGTTTGATTGCCTTTCAAATATTGAAAATAATGAGAGGCAAGACAAAGTTAGTCATATGAGTATATTTGTCAAATTATTTAAATGTTCTTAAGTGAGAGCTTCACAAGCTATTCTGGATTTCATGTTATTTATAAAAATTATATATTTCATATTATTTTTCAATTACAATTATGGTAGAAACAAGTACTAAAATTATAGACACTCAGTTTCATTAGAAGCTATTAATCAATGATTAAAGGATTTATTTCATAGGACTAGGTTTTCGTATATTATCAGTGCATTTACTTAAAAATGCATTTATTAATTTGTTGATGCTGTAGGAAATCAAAACCATAATCATTTGTATTTAAATTTAATTTTCTGATTGACCCAACATAAAACATGAACTCAGTTTTTTTATTTTCTTTAGAGCTGCTGTATTAATAAAATATGCCTGACTTTGCTGTAATGCTTAGCATGAGGCCTATTGGAAGGTTCCAAATTTGTTGAAATACGCTTGTGCTATAATTCCATATTCCATATATAAAAATTTTAAATTATGCTTATTCTTACCAAAAGGTTAATTATTAGTTATTATTTTATACCTTCAGATAAGAAATTTCTGTTAAAATTATGTTTTTACACCATATTTCTTAAATATACATATAAGATTTAACATGGTTTGTTTTTAATTTGCTAATTTTTTATTAAGAAATTCATTCAAGCCTTGATATAACAAATTTCATAGGTAAAATGAAAATATTTGTCACTCTGAAGTTTCTTTAAATTGAGTTTTCTGTTGGGTTGAGTTTTAGGGAAGAATCAAAAAAACAAAATTTTGTCTTTATGAAATTATTGCTCTTCAATGTATTCAAAATTGCATTTAATTGTGAAAGATGTATAAAAATTACATTATGATTAACATTAAATTTTATTAAAACATTCGATAAAAACAGTGATACTTTTTTTTAATGTCATCCATAGTTGTCGTTTTTTTAATTGTAATATTTATTGGAAATAATTTTCAAATAGTATTGTTTTATTATTTTTTTTATGATTTTGTCCGAATCCTTTTACATTTACAACACCCTGGGATAAATTATTTATTCGGGTACCACCTAATTTTGTTTTTCCTCTGCATTACAAAAACATGGATGGCTTTAAATTTTACATGAAAAGACTGAATCTTTTGACTTGCAAAACATGCTTGAATCTTTTTACAACTTATAAAACAAAGTTATTTCAATTAAATTTTAAGGATTTTGCTATATCAAGGTTGAATATATATATATATATATATATATATATATATATATATATATATATATATATATATATATATATGGAATACATAATTATAAAAAATAAAAAATAATATGCTTCTATTATAAATCATATAACTTTTCATGGTCTAATCTTATAATTAGGCATAAATTATTTAGTGATTTTTTTAAATTTGTATTATTTTTCAATTAATACATTCTAGCATTGATATAATGAATCTCTTGGATATCATGGAATGTCACATGAAGGGTGTCTTTAAATTGAGTTTTCGATATCTATATCTTGATATATTTTAGTTTTAGAGAAGAATCAACAAACTTGGTTCAATATTTATTGATTAATTAGGTGGTTTGGAATAATGACTTATTTAAAAGCTTATATGACTGTAGTACGTTCTAGTGTGATGAATATACACTCAGTATCAAAATGTTAGACACACTTCAAAAATTATTATCCCTACCCTCCCATGTTTTCAAATTACCCGTAAAACAGTATTAAAATAATCTATGACTCACCTGAAGTTAATCAGCAGCCAGCTTATATTTTGGTTACAAGCCAAAAATATATACATTTGTTTTATTTTTCAAATTAAAGTTAAGGCCCGTCAAAATGTTAGACACGCTCTCTGGTAAAAATAAATAAAACTCATTTTAATACTTCATGGCCTTTCCACCACCATTTATTGATTCAAAAATTCTGTTTGGTAATGAATCATACAATTGTTTGATTGTTTCTTGAGGTAATTGTTCCCATGAAGCCAGAATTGCATATTTCAAATCCTCGATTGTTCCGAACTGTCTTTACTCAGAGTACACCTTTCTTGGAAGAGTTCCCCAAACATTTTCGGTAATGTTCAGGTCTAGGGAGACAGCAGGCCAGTCTGATTTGGCAATTTTCTTGCGAGTAAATCAGTCTTTAATAAATTTTGCTGAATGTATTGGGGCGCTATCTTGCTGGAAAACTGGTGTGCCTTCAGGCATGTCATTAGAAGTCAAATTTTGTTCCTCTAACAAATTTTTATATTCAGCTGAGTTTACTCTTGATGAAGCAAATACCAAATTTCCTTTCTTTTTGTAACCAATTGATGCCCAAACCATAACTTTTCCTCCTCCCATTTGACGCCTTGATAAAAATTTTTCTTCTTTTCTTAAGTCATGAAAATAAATCGAAAATCCCTCTGGCCCATCAAGATTCAATTTTTTTTCATTACTAAAGATGTCTTCCTTCCACTCCTCAGTCCATGACATCACATTACGACCAAAGGCCAGCCGGGCTAATTTGTGACGGGTACTCAAACTGGATTTCTTTTAAATTTTTTTCTAACTATTGTTTTTGACTTTTTTAATAATCTTTGGGCATTCCTTAGTTTTGTTTGAACTCTAGCTTCCTCAGCAATTGCTCTTGCCATTTTACAAGAGTTGGATGCAATTTGAAGAATATTCCGTTTCTCTCGTAATGTCAAAGCAGGTGGCCTCCCAGTAGAACAGTGGGTTCCATAATCCCAGTGCCGAATAAACTTTGCAACCGATGAAAAACTTCGCTTCCTTGTGGAGTGAAGAAATCAAACTATGCTCTTCTTCGGAGAAACATTTATTTTTTCCATAACTCACGTTCTTTTTATGTCTATTTTGAAACAAATTCAACAGTGCACTGAAGTAAAAATGGTATTTTAACAATTTCAACTCTGAAGGATTAAGAAAATAGTAAACAACAATTGTGTCTATCATTTTGACGCATATAAAATGTCAATATTTACTGATTTGGATTTAAATAATTTTCAAGGTCTGAGAAGATTGTCTCCACTTCAATATTATAATTTATACTTTAAACTGTGCTTTAAAAAAAATAATATCAATCAAACATTTTTTAAGTTCAACAATCAAAGTTTTTTTAATTTCAATGGGTGTGTCTAACATTTTGACACTGAGTGTAAGTGCTCTTTATTATGTAGGAGAAACCTGTAATTTCAGAATGCCATTGCTACTGTTGAATCTTTATACCACAAAAAGTGTAGTTAAAATCAGATATTGTTGATTATTTCTGTCAAGGGTAAATTATGTTATTGTCCTATCTGTTCTTACTTTATAAAAATAGTATTGAAAAATATTCACAAAATATTGCATTCTTATATTTAATATTTTTCTTGTAGTACTAAGTTTTAGAATTGTATTTATAAATAAGTTTGGTTCTGTTTTTCTATCTAAATTTTAAAAGTCAGTGCCTTTTGTAACGGCATATATTATTGTCTTCAAACACATGCTGTAGTGATAAATTTATGAAAATAAGAACTTAGTTTACAAATACTCTTACATTGACAAGAAATTAAAAACAAGAATATTTTTCTTGTTAGAATTTTTTTATTTTACAACTTAATGTTATTTTGGCATAGAATACATTTTATACATTGTAAATATTAAAAATTAAAAGGAAAAAAAACGGAAATAA